AAGCATCAGGCTTCCTTAGGGATGTTCTTTTATTCTACCCCAAATTATCTTCTCTGACATAGGGGGTATTGTAGTTGACGAAAATGCTATGACATGCAAGTCAACAGATGCAACAACACTTACTGAAATTTGGCCTTTGTTGTTCCCTATCGTCATTTTATCGAAGTTAACTACACACATTCTCGGCAGTAAGTAGTCCAACCCTAATATACATTGGTCTTCAATGTCAGCCAAGTACATTTTGTGTCTGTCCTTCATGCCCATGAGCTCAATAGTTACCCACACTGGTCCTCACAACCACACCACAGAGCCTCTGTATGGCTTCTGGTACTCCTTTGTGATCCAGCACCCCAACATTCACAAGGGCCCGCTGAGATGCAGAATCCATGACAAAGCCACACCCCTGACCATCCAGCCCTCCTGTCATGCAGACATTCCTCTCACACTGGCTCCCCATATGTCCCTGCTCTCTACAGCTCCAACAACCCCTCTGGGCAGCAGCCTTTCCTGCCGTGGCATCTTCTCTGTGTTGAAGTCTCCAGCATTGAGCCCTCCCATGCCCAGGCCTGCCACAGTGCCAGCAAAGTCACCCAAACCTCCCTGAAAGCTGACCTCCTTTGACACTGAATCCTGACGACTGCACCAACCTTTGTGCTGGACTTAGCATAGGACTTATTTTTTTGTATTCTTTTATTAATAATATGTAACAGATACGGAAAATTTTAGACGTTGGTCATTACAATAGAAATTAAAATAAGAAAAAAAATAATACAAAAAAAGAACAATGAGTCAAATTATGAGCTGAATCCTCTCATTGCCAATGGTGAACAGGTGAGAAACATCAGGACACCAACGATGGAAGAACTCTCCAGTTCCCAGAAGCTGGAAGTCCGCCTCAATACTGAGCAACAGCTTGAACATGACCTTACAGTAAATGCCCTGGAAAGTCATGGGAACTCGCTCGTACACGTAGCGGTTCCTCATGAGCCAGATGACATATTTACAGAGCAAGAGGAG